CTGTGATGAAATCTCTCCCTACAAAAAGAAAGGAAGTAATTAACATGTCTAAACACATGTTACAACATTCTAGCAGACTTGATCAAACATGGTCCACAAGTCAGTCATCAACTGCATGCTACTCATGTGGTGAGTATGGTCATATAAAGTCCTTCTGTTGTAAACTATATGCGAGATCAAAAATCTTAAGTTCTTTCTAAGGGCGAGAAAGTTTGTAAAAAGAAAGGGTTTGATGATATGGGAGTGCAGAAGTTGGTACTGAATAATAGGTCTCATTCCACTAAATCTTCCAGTCTTGGTGGTAGTATCAATAGTAAATTTGAAGGAGTTGGGAAACTAATGCATAAAGGTTCAAAGGCCAATAAGGATTAATTAAAGTTATGGCATGAGAAACTTGTACATATTCATGTCAAAAGAATGAAGGAAGTCATATCCAAATGAGCCATTAGACACTTACCAAAGCTAGAGATTAATGAAGAGTTAGTCTATGATGAGTGTGATTCTAGGTCTCAATTCGTGATGTCATACAAAACGATACAGCCTCAGACTACTTCAAAAAGGTTAAAAATTCCTCATATGGACTTAATGGTACCAATTCAGATTGATGGTATGTATGGTAAGACGTATGATTATGTGCTCATAGATGATTTTTCAGGATATACTTGGATAAACTTTCTTAGAGAAAATTCAGACGCGTTTAAGATCTTCAAAGACTTGTGTCAAACTATTTAAGAAGAAAGAATGGTGATATTGTAAAAATTAGAAGTAGTTCTGACAAGGAATTTGGGAATATAAGATTCTCTAAACTTTGTGCTTCTAACAACATTCATTATGAGTGCTCTCAGCAAAAGGGGAGTGTTAAACAAGTAACCAAGGAGATTCTAGAATCAGCTAGAGTCATGCTTCATGCTAAGAGTTGACCTTTGTGCTTTTGGGCAGAAGCGATGAATATTGCGTGTTATGTCCGTAATAGAGTTTCTCTAACAAGAAATACTTCAACCACTCCTTATGATCTATGAACAGAAATGAAGCCCAGAGTCAATTATTTTCATATCTTTGGAAGTAAATGCTACCACTTGACTGACAAAGGTAAGAAAGGCAAGAAGAAGAAAATTAGGGGTGAAGGCATTTTTATGGGATACTCCTTAAAGAACTGGAATTATAGAGTGTTTAACTTCAGAACTGGAATGTCTTTGGAACCTATCAATATAATAATTGATGAGTCACTTGTTGAAGAAAAAGAGGATGTCAGAGACGTTTTTGGAACTTCCTATGAAGCATTAGGAGATGAGACTTGTGAATTCAAAAATAGTGAACCACTTAATTCTAAATTTAGCATAAGTTTGTCTACTGAAGGGTAGATAGAACAAACCATAGATTTGGTTGTGAGTCACACTAATAAGGGTAGCATCACTGAAGCGAATCAGAAAATATTAAATGGATGTGTTGCCTTGAGGGAAACATGTGGAAGGTACTCTGAATTGATGTTGAAGAGGTGTGATGTTAAGAAAGATGTCATGACATTTCACAATGAAGATCTGAATTCCTTCAGATATCTTATTCAACATGACTGGTACAAGGATCTTGGTAGTTGCAAGTAATTGATCATAAATCTTGTTGAAGGAAAGGATGACACTCTAGAGCTTATGGACAACAAGGAACAACTTGATGTTATCAAAGACAGTGGGATTGGAACTTTTACTATTGAAGAGTTATAGCAATTACAGAAAAGAGGGAATGCAACTTCTACTGCATTTTCCCTCTATGTTCTGGGGCATGATATTCGTATTGTTGGGGTTATTGGCTGGAAGGAAGGTATTCTGCAAGACAGTGGGGCTAGCTACAACACCAAGGAATGCAGAAGGCTCTTTGACAGGGTCAAGAGGTGGAAAACCACCTAAATCTGATCAAGATGTTGTGTTTCCATATGTGTGTTTCCATCTGTGGTATTGCTAGAAGTGCAATATGTTCTGAAGTGCTTTGTATGTGTTTCCATTGTGTACATTTACTCTAGTTCTTTTTATCAATATTTTGGCTGAAAAGGAGGAGTAAAGTGTTATATTATGATGTTATATCACATGTTTTGACATGTTAATTTAGCATTATGATAAGACTGCGTGCTACTGCTTCTATGAGAGTAGTTGTGTGTTTGGTTGCTTGAGCAATCATTGAGGGGGGCATGTGTATTTATGATTTTGTGTGCTGAAGTTGTTGCTGCTGCTTCTGCTGTTCCGCTGCAGGTGCTTTGGAGTGAGTTTTTCCCTTAAGAGGGAGAACCTATTATGTGTGACAGGGAAAGTGCTAACATGTCTGTGTGTACAAGCTTTTGAGTTGTGTTTATACAGAGTTTACATGATAAGTATGTAGCTTGTGTTGTGGTTTTATTCCTCTCTCCGATCAAATTTGGTTTTGGTTGTTTTAGCCAAAATTTGCCAAAATAGGAGATTATTAGTTCTATATTTTTATGGTTAGCTAAATTTTGGCTAAACATGATTCTGAACATGGTTCTATGTTGGGGTTGGTAAGATGGTGCAACATCTTTATCAACTGTCATAGTAGTTCCAGTTGTTATGAGTGTTACTACAAGATATTGATGATATCATAACATCTAGACCAGCAGGTACAAGTAGGTTCTGCAGGTGCCTTATTTGACAGATGTTCCAGCAGATGTTGTAACATGTTACAACATAACATTTTGATAGTGCATTGGATATTCTATCCTTGAAGATTTAATTTGAAGATATAAGTATCTGGAATGTTCTGTACTCATTATAGGCGCAGGCTAATCAAGAATTTTATTAGAAACAAGTGCAGATTTGATTGGTTACTAAAAATGATCGATTAAGACTTTTTAAAAAACATTTTATGAAGATTGTTTCTATTTTTATGGAGAAAGATTTTGCGGGTTTTTGGCAGTTGCTGATTGAATTTGATTGAATAGTCCAAACCCGATTGTAGAAAACTATATAAGGAGTCGTCCAAGACCTAGTTTTAAGCAGGGTTTTTATTGTAAAACCTTGTGTAAAAAATTAGGGTTTATGGTTGATAGTTCGTTAGGTTCTCCATCTGTTTTATTTGTACGTTCTCGTGTATCTCTGATACATTTGAGTTGACTAATTGTTGCTTGTTTATCAAGTTATTGTTCTCACTCAAAGTCTGTAGGCACGAGTTGAGTATTCTTCTTGGTCGAAACTTTAAAGCAAGACTAAGTATTTGTTTTTGGAGGTGTGATCTTCTTGTTTTCTTTGTTACAAGTTGATGTGACTGTAACTTGTTGATAGACAACTCCTGTGACTGAGATATGTCTTTATCACTGCGGTGATTGGAAGTGGGATGGCGACTTCCCTGATTTAGGGAGGACCTAAGTTGAAGTTATATTGGGTATAGATTAAGCGAGAATTTGTAAACAAGAGAGTTTAGCTTTGAACTAGTACTACTGATAGTGAATTTCCCTTCGAACTTGGTAGTCCCCAGAGTAGGTGAGTTAGCACTAAACTGGGTTAGCATATTGTTGTGTTCTTTCTTTTTCTACACGTTATTTTTCTATGTTGTTATTGTTGTTGTTCTATCAGCAGATGTTATAATATCTGTCATGACATTGCTTATATGTTGAATATCAGTCTTAACATATTTGGTGTGCGTGCCAAAATTTCAATATCAATTAAGACAAATTTTGTGATGGACTCTTTGCTTACACGTATAAAATTTTAAAAATCATTCAATAGCCAGTCGATCTTAGATAAAATTTCAATGTAACTTTTTACTTCAAAGTAACATTTTCGATCTTGGTGAAATTTTAAGGCGAGTTTTAGTATTGATACATAGCAATAAAAGCCATCATCTAGGCCACCATCATTCTGTGGATGTTGAACAAAAAGTGAGGTAAGTAGGGCCACCATCTAGGCCTAAAGCCCCAAACACTTTCCAATGCGTTCGCAAAACTACTAAATAACGTCTTTTTGTGGCTAACTTAACTTTTATGGTCAAGATATTTCCATGGCCAACAATTGTAGAATCCTGCAAGAAGAATTGAAAAACATTGACTTGCATATAATTTTCTCTCAATTAATAAGTAAAATATGTTACAGTAAGTTGAAATTAAAATGCAGTTAGCTCCTACTTTATATGGTTTTAAATTGCGGTTAGAGTTATATCAGTTACACTGCAAACATTTATATCACAAAAGAGTACATTGAAGAAAAATATGACTAATGCAGTTGAAATTGTGGTTGTGATGACATTGCATAGACCTTAAGTTTCTTTACACAGAATATGCAATTGCAGTTGCGGATGACAGTTTAAAATCCGAACATCATTCTAAGCATTGCAAGAATAGACAAAACTGTAGTCATTGTTTCAGTTCAAAAAGACAGTAATGTGTGTAGTTATTGCTGCAGAAGAAAATATTTGTCAAGTGCTGACATAACATAATTGTGACATAACATACAGTAAACGATCTCGTCCGTTACGGTAAAATTACACAATAACAAAATTACCTTCAAATGATCGAAAACCGTTCGACGCAGTTACTGCTCCAAATCCCAAGCCTAAGTTTCAGTGATAGATATGGGTCTGATGCAATCTCATAAACACAGTGAGTTTCACCAGAAAAAAAATCGATTCAACAGAATCAAACACTTTGTGATTGAAAATAAAGTTTGACATTGTCAATATTATTACTATAGCTTCTTTCTTCAAAGTTGCTGAAACTACAAAGCTTGATGAAAGCAAAGTAGAAACAGAAGCCACATTTTCTCATCCAATGGTGAATCTTTTATGAGAATTATTCATATAAACAAAAGAATCAACTATTCCCTATAAAACCAAAACACAACATTGAAAACAACAACAAAAACACATATCAACTGTGCTGCCAGGAACATCTCCATCCAATCATAGTCACATGTATCATCCTAAGCTGCTGTCACTCCCAGCTCCCAGCATTCAGCTAATATATGTCTTCAAAATTCCAATGTCCCATCTTCCCATTCTCAATGCTTCTATTTCTGCACACAAAACCACACCCAACATTAATTTCACATCAAAATTCAAATTTTAACCTTGTACGCACACGCACGCCCGCACCTTGCCATTATTCTCTGGACCATCAGGAACCTTGTACGCATCAGCAGAAACCTCAGACAACCACATACCAGGAAAAAGTGTCTACAGAAAAACAATCAAATGAACATTATAATCAAAATTGACTAGTATACCTCTCTAGCACAACACCTCTGAAAAAAGAGGTGTTGTGACCGTGTAAGTATCGAACACCAACACCGACACGACACGGCCGTGCTACTGATTAATGATTAAATAGAATTAATCAACTTACATCCATTTGCCTCTGAACAATTCTTGGTCTTTTCTTGGGCCTTCTCGGAGGCCGATGACCCACCATCTTCATGAAATCCTCTTCAATTTCCTTCTTCGTCAAGGTCAATGAAAATTTCATCTTTTTATTCGAATCACCACCACCCTTCAAATTAACGCCGCCGTTACCATTCCTCAACGGCGACACCGACACGTTAGGTTTCTTTTCATCAATATTCAACAACAACCCCTTTCCACTCTCTCCACCACCGCCACCAACGAAAACACCTTTCCTCGTTCTCAAATTCCACGTCCTCTCCCTCCTCGCCGCCGTCGCAACCTCAACCTCAACCTCATAATCCTCACCGCCACCATTATTCTCTTTCTCCTTTCTCAATATCGCATCTTTCAGTCTATCAGCTTCAGTCTTCAGATCAAGCATCAACTTCTCCCTAACAGCACCGATCCCATCGTCGTCGGCGTTGATCTTGCTCCTCTTTTTCTCTGACTCCGACGGCGATCCCTCGTCGGAAGCAATCTTCATACATCTCAGGTGACGCTGAGTCCCCCACTTCAAACAAGGTAACATGAAATTGTGAAGAGGCTTCACTCTCTCAGAACCCGTCGCCATGTTACCCTCTTCTTCTTCACCAGAAAACACCATTGATCAAAAACAACAACAACACTAGAACCAAAAACAGAGTAACTATGAGAAGTGATTTTTGAGAGACAAAAAACCGAACAGACAGTTCGAATTTTCTCGGAGAAAAAAACCTACGAAGGAGAACAATGGTTTGGTTTCTTGAAAACTCGCCGGGAAAACGTAATGTGTTTTTGTTTTTTTCGTATACATGTATATATACGAAAGCGGTTTTAACGTTCGGCTTCATTTCTAGCCTATTTGCTAAAATGCGCTTTACGTGAATTTTATTTCGTTTCCTTTTTCCCCGTTTTTTTTTTATTTTTCTTTCAAAATGAATTGCGATCTATTCTAATGAACGATTTCTAATTCAAATAATGCAATCGTGGCCGTTGATTTATGGCTATTTTAGATAATGTATCGTATGATGGAAGAAATATTTTAAAAGAATTTTTTTAAAAAAAGTTATATTAAATTTAAAGTTTAAAAATAGTGTACAGACAATATAAATCAATATTACATTTACACATGTAATCAATCAAAATTTTTATATTTTTTATATTATATTAATATTTTAAAAATAAAAAATATTTTAATTGAATACATTAAATGCATTTTTTATTTATTTTAAAAAAGTAAGAAATTATTAGTTTTTTTTTATTTGGATGATTCTACATGGATATACGTAATAAATTATAATAAAAGTCAAATGATACAATATTTGTGATTAATTAACAATATAAAAATAATATAAAGTTAAATTTAAAGTTAAAATTTAAAACCTAAAAGGAAAAAAGTTAAAATTGAATATTTTTAAATAAATGATGAATTATGTGAATCAAGAAAGAAAAATCAATAAAATATAAGGATTTTAATTTTTTTTTATTTAGAAAAATGTTTCAAAAATACAGATTTTTAATTTTTTTTTTATTTAGAAAATTGTTTAACACATTCAAATTTTAATTTTTATTGTAAAAATTATGGTATTATTGAATTTAAAATATAAATAATAAAATATTAAATAATATATGATATGATATTGACCCGATAAATATGTATTTTGTCATTTCTTTGATACACGTGTCATATAAAAAATATGTTATATTTAATTTATAAATTTAGATATTTAATATATTATTAATAAAATATATATTTATGTAAAATTTAAAATATTTTTGCAAATAATTAAATTAAAATTAAAAAATTATATATTAGTTTTTAACTAAATATATCTTAATATTTAAATTATAATAAACACGTAATAGTGTCATGACACTTGGTATCAATTGATCTTATCTATTAGCAAATATATAATAATTACCTAGACTAGATAAACTTATATTTTATCACTTATTTATTACACATGTCATAACAAATATGATAATATTATTTTATATATTTAAATACATACTATAACAAATATGCTATTACTATTTTATTATTTCAAATATTTAAAAACAAACTTAATAGTGACATAATAAAATATATATCCAAAATATAAAAGTTCTCTTGCAAAATAATACAGATAATTTGTTAAAATTAGTATTAATTAACTTTGAAATTTAATAAATAAACAAAAATATTAAAACGAATTAAATCAATAAGATAAATTAGTTAATTTAAAATTTAATGGCGTACTAAATAATAAATTTTTAAAAATTATTGCAAAACAACTATATCAATATACTATATTCAATTTAAAAAAATATATTTATTTTATATTTTTTAAATTACTAATAATAAAATTTTAAAGTATTTTATTTTGAGTAGAATTGTTATTAGTTATTATTTCCTAATTTAATATCTAATTTCCTTTTTTATTATTTTATTTTATATATTAAATTATATTTAAAATAAATAAATTAATGTTCTATTTTTAATTTAAAATAATTATTTTCAAAATATTATTTTACGTATTTTTTTCTTTTTGTTATAACCTTTTTAAATATTAAAATTTCAAAAGAAAATCAATTAAATTTGAAATTATTTCAAAAAAAATTTAAATTATTTTTAAGATTTATCTTAAAAATATAATTTTGACTATATTTTAATTTTCAATAATATATATTTATGTTATAAGATGTTAAAATTAATATTTTAATTTATAAAAATTAAATTTTAAAAAATATTTACTATTTTAAAACATTTTATAAAAGTTATTTTTAAAAATACAAAAAAAAATTAATGTTAAAGTAAATGGACGGATAATAAGTCTTAAACTTAATTTATTTATTTTATTGTCTAATCAAATATCAATTAAAACAGGATATCATTCATTTATTTTATCCTACATTGACTCTATGAATTTAATTTGATAAGTATTTATCACTTAATCAATTATTTTTTGTTATTATTTTATCAATAAATCAATTATTTTTTGTTATTATTTTATCAATAAATCAGTTTAAATTAATTAAAATTTTAAATGAATTTAAATTTTAAACAATAGGTTAGATTAGGTATAAAATTGGAACAAAATCAAGAGTCAAAGAATTTAATCTTTTTATTTTTTCTTTCACGGTAACATATCATCAAGTATACATCATTTTCCAACTATGTACTTTTGAATGATGCAATCCTGGCCGTTGGTCCGGAATTGTGCGAAAGATTTAAAACTTGTGTTCCGTGTATTGCTAGGTCAATACTGGAATAATGATGTGTGTACTTGGTGGTCAAGTTTGGAAAGGATAATGATATCCTTACGTGGCTTTTGGTCCAACGAATTTTTGACAACCATAAGGAAATAGTCTTTTTTACCTGCAAATAACAAGTAAAACATGTCATACAAATATTATATAAATAAATATTATAAAAATTTACACAATTCGTTAATGGTGGAGAGGAAAAGAAAACAACTCGCCATGCTTTTTTTTTGAACAGGCAAAAACAATATCATTAGCAATTTGCATAAGGAATGCCTAATAAACCAATACAGCATGACATGCCAAAGCATATTGTCAAGGAAACAGAACATTACAACTCCCTAATTGTTGACTCCTAAATTCGACACCTTTGTTTTGATTGATGGCAGCCATTAAAAGCTGAAAGATGCTTTCGACTGGCTAAGCCTGTCGAAGTGCCCGTCGAAAGATGGCAAAATACTTAGAAGATTTCTTCCAAGGAAGAAGGCTGATTGCCTTCGACGTCGAAAGGGTTTTCGTCGAAGACGTCTTTTAATGAAGGTGTTCGATGATCCAGAAGTGGAGCAGTTTGAAATTCAAAGCTTTGGAGGGAAAACGGTTTCCAGCAGTTACTACGTGCAAACGTGCAAGGATCTGGAACATCGAGCATGGAGAACGTGACAAGTGGCTTGATCTCGAAGCGGTGTAACTGCCCGACGGTTACTTGGAATGTTTTTGTATAAATAGGAGTAGACGTGTAGTTTCTCGCGTGTGTTCACAATAAATACATAGTCACTCATTTAGATTCAAGTACCCAGTGTGAGCGAACGAATTGTTGAGAAATGTATGTGTGAAACACCAATTTAATCAATTCAAGTCATTTACTTTTCCAGTATTTTACATGCTTTTCCCTTTTAAGATTCCTGTCGAACCTTTACATTCAAGCCTTGTTTATTTTACCAAGCCTTTCCTTTATGCAATTTACTTTGAACATTTTACTTAAAGCCTTATCCACATTAATCAAACTTCAAAATCAACCTATGTCCATAGGATCAATCTGATCGATCCTGCGAGTAACCAAATAAGTAACCATTTGGAGGATCAGCGGTTGTTTACCAAAACCATAGGTAAACAAATTGGCACACCCGGTGGGACTGTGTGTTGATTGTTGAAAAACCTCATCTTTTCGAGTTGTATGTTATTGAGGAGTGGTAGAATATACACCAACGATAACAATACTGCCAGAAGAAGGGAAGAGATGGCGAATCCGCCAAACAATAATGAAATTCCACCACCAAGTGTGGGAGCAACGGTTAATATGACCGTTAGTGAAGCGACGAATGTTGGTTCGACACCAGCAGTGTCAGTCACAACCACGGGGCCAATAACTTCGTTTACAGGCCCCAGAATGACTTTGGGAACTCCCCCTCCAAGGGGAAATATTGGCACAAGGCCAGTGGTTCCCCCAGGATTTATTCCATTCTATGGCATGCCAACTTCTGAAGTGGCAAGCCTGACGAATGCTGCGTCCACTTATTCAGACCCTTTCGTGAGTGCTTCTTCGCCACTCCAAGGCTCTGGAGTAGGCATGGCGAATAGAAATAGGACCCAACTCTTAGGAGGAACGTCCCAAGTAGCCCATGGCCTTACAAATGCCTCGACAGCAGTCTTGAGGCAACAGATGGACGAAAGCAACCATGACATGGTGCAAATGTTGGCACAAACTTTGAGTACAGTGCTAAATCCTCTAATACAAAATACTACTCAATCGAATCAGCAAGTTACAGCGCAAATGACGCGTTTGGCTGACTTCTTTGGAGTACCCCCACCTATTCGACAGCCCCAAAGGGCGCAAGTAAGAGGAAATCAGGGGATATTTGTAGAGGAAGAAACCACCATTAATCAGGCTCAACAGCCTGTAGAACAACCTGTCGAAGAACCTAGGGTAATAGCCCCAGAGGTAAGGTTAGTTAACAGAAACCAAAATGCTGACGAAGTGGTTCAGCATGTCCAATACCAAAACATGGGTTTGGAAAACAATCTGGCAACCATGATCGAAAGAATCATGACTCAGAATGGAATGAACATGGGCTTTCGAAGGCCCAACTTTACATCTCCATTGTCAGAATATGTGTTACAAACTGACTTACCCCCTAGAACCAAAGTCCCCAAATTTACTAAGTTCTCTGGGGACACGACAGAGTCTACTGTCGAACATGTGGCAAGGTATTTGATCGAAGCAGGAGACATTTCAAATAATGAAAACCTAAGGATCAAATACTTCCCAAGTTCCTTAACCAAGAACGCTTTTACTTGGTTTACAACTCTGCCCCCCAATTCGATCCACCATTGGACCCAGTTGGAAAGATTGTTCCATGAACAATTCTATATGGGGCAAACCAA